GGGGAGGCGGGGGGGCGGGGGGCCCCGGGGAGGCTTCGGGGAGGGGGGGGGGAACGGGCCCGGCTCAGCGGGGGGGCCCAAGCCTGGGCGCACCGTGCCCCGAGGCGGCCCTCAGGGCAGGACTAAGGAGCTAGAGGGGTCTGAGCTAATTTCTCCTGTGTTCATGAGATTTAACCGGTTATAAAGCACCTTGAGATCCATGCTTTGTATTAAAAAAAAATGATTTGAACTACTGGTAAAACGTGTATGTACAATGCTATGTTTATATATATATGTGTGTGTGACACTCCTAGAACACTACATAATACCTTCTCTTTTGAAAACTACCAATTCAAAGCGTATTGAATCCAGCATTTTCTACTCTCAGCCATTTTGGGACTTTGGACTCCGTGATGAGCTTGTCCAGAGAAGTCAGTAGGGACGTAGGAAAGGTGCCCACCGATAGAAATGGGGTGTGTGTTTGTGTGTGTGTGTGTCATGCTCGCCTTAAGAGCTTTGCTACCTGTTTGCTTGACGGTGACATTGACAGGGTAGAGGATAAATGGTGAGAAATGTGGACTGTGCTGTTCTCTCTCCTTGCCTGAAGGCTAAATACAGCTGCTCGTTTAACCACGTGCTAATGACGTGCCTGTAAAGCTCTTTTCTTCACCAACTGATGCAGCAAGTCCTGACATTTTCCCAGCCTGAGCACTGTGTTGCAGAAAAGGGTCGCGCTGGAGGGGATTGGCTTTGCACGTCTCTGGCTTAGTTCTGTTCTGTCCCGAGACCGTGCTCTTTATTTCACCCCAGCTATTCCTGCCCAAAGCACTGTGCTTTTTTGCCTGAGGTGTTCTGTGGAGATCACTGGAGAGTGTGGTAGGAAATTCCTGCAGTGGTAACACTGTTGCTGGGAGGGCATCCATAAAAACCAGGCAGGCTGGCTACGTGGAATACCATCCGCATGATGCAGTTGCCTGGGTTGCTTTGCTGATGCAGGGTGAAGAGCGCGTGTTGCTCCGCCTACGACGTCTTGGCATCTGGCAGAAATTTCTAAAGTTCAACATACTTTTTTGTAGCCCATTACTTAATTTCTTGCTGTTCAGAACATTCTATGCAAAGTGTTTCTGCCTGCCTATAAATCCATGACCAAAGGTTGTGCTGAGAGCCTGAGGAGGCCCCAGCTTTGCGGTAGAAGTACCTAGGACCACCCCACACAAGGAGCTCTGCCCACGCACCAAGAAGAACTTCTAAGGGCACAATTAAAGCAGTTTTATTAGAATGTAAACAAAAGGCAGCGGACTTTTGTTAAAAGGATGGATGTGCTGCTGCCGGGAGTCGACTGGAGAGGGCAGTCAAGTACACAGGAAAGACATGGGCTGTCAGGAGCTGGGTGCTGCTGTAGCAGGAGGGTGTTGGGAGGAGAAAGGTGTTGCTATCTCGGCCGTGGGGTGTGTGACCGGCAGCCGGGGGCGCGGAGTCAAACCCTTCCCCTTCCTGCTGCCCCTTGGAGGGACACACACGTCTCTGCTGCTCACGCATCTCTGTGGACTTTTGCTTTTGGTGGACTGGCTTTTGGTGGCCCAAAGCAGCCAGGTGAGGTCAGAGGCGGTGTCATGGTATCCCTTCTGCCATGCTCCAGTGAAGGCTGCCCGCACTGTGTCACCTTGGGCAGAGGAGGGGCAGCTGGCTTACTCTTCTTTCTCTTTCACCAACAATAATTGATTTGCCTTTTTATTAACATTAAATGATAGTTTTCCTGGCCTGGATAGACCATGATCCCCAAACCAGCCAGCGCAGCGTGCGGCCCGCCAGAAGGGGCCAGTCTTCATGTACAACAGTAGCCCCCACTCC